GTGTGTGAGTTAAAATGAAAGAAAGTGACCAATATTAAATATAAAGTTCGTAGGCCTGTTGAGGTACATCTTGTTGGTAATTCTAATTTAAGAATCGATTTTTTAGATTCTATAGAATATTTAATAGAGCAAAGATATCAGATTGAGGAATATCACATTCCTCAATGAAATACAAAAGGTATTGTTTTTGTGCATCTCATGCAGTTAAAGAAATTTCAGCATCATGAGTGGTTGGCTCTTATAGATTCCACCCATAAAACTAATAGATATGATTAGCACCTTTTTACTCTATGTTCATGATACCTATAGCTGCTGGGACATGGGTACTCACTTTTTTGTTAGTGCCAAAGATAGTGACACCATCAGTGAAGCATCAAGAATAATCCATAGAAAGTTTTATTGCTGATCCCCTTGATATATACTTGCTGATCAAAGTAGTATCAAGAAAAAGGCAGTTAAAAAAACTTTTCTAGGTGTAAATGCTAGTAAACAAGAGTATAATTTAATTTTTTGTGTAATGAGGACTTGGTTAAGCAAAATTTATAAAAAAGAACCTCATGATATTATAGTTGCAACAATGCACAAAAGAACAAAAATCAGTTGCAAAAAACTTGTCCAAGATGCTATTAACTGTTGCTCCATCTCTGCTATCTGAAGATATATTGAAAGAAACTACAAAAAAAATACTCAAAAGTGAGGTTTGTAAGCATGTCAGCATTCTCTTTTGCTTCTTCATGTTACTTCTACAAACCCAATAAAATCTTATTATAGTAAGTTAGAAAGATCTCAGTAATCATCTAATAGAACAAAATTAAATTTAATTATACTGATTCTTATAATTGAATTAGATATCAAATAAAATTACTGATGAATTGCTAAGAGATTTTATTTATATTTTATATAAAACACCAATAATGTATTTATAAATAAATACAAGAATCAGATAAGTATTATAATTTGTATTTTATTTTTTATTCTCAATTTTGCTTATAAAACTATGTATATTTTTTAATTGTTTTATTTAAATTTACTATTGTCTTGGCTTCAAAAATAATTTGCCTACTGACCCGCCCATTTTTAATCACTAATCTGGCCTAAAGCCGATTTGCCACCTACTCACCTAGCTAGTAAAATTATTTATTGTCTTAGCACATAATGTGGCTTTGCCTACCCACCCACCCAGCTAATAATTTTTTTATTTATTTATATTTAAATGGTCAAATTGCAAAAAGAAAGACTCTAAAGAATTTTTCAACATCAAAACAAAAACTTCTGTCCTTTCAATGTCTTCACTGGATACAGTACTCCAATATTTGTCATGAACTCTTTTGTTTAATTTGTTTACAGTAATTTTTAGACTTTCAAGTTTTTTTTGTTGTTCTGTTTGTATATATTCTACTACTACTAATTCACAACTTT